TTCTTTTATTGTCATTTATCATGCCTTTATTTCTCTTATCTTTAATACCCCATCAAGAACCAAGGTTTTTGCTGCCATTGCTTTTTTTACTGGCATTGTTACGTCACAATTTCACCTGTCTCAAGTCGGTCCAAAACCTATTGATGTACATATGGTATATCCACAATATTGTTGGAGTATTGTTTTTTGGATTTCTTCACCAAGGTGGCGTATACTCATCATTGTCATACATTCATGTTTCTATACAAAATCAAAATCAAAATCATACTCACAATAATGCTATAATGTATTATAAAACCTATATGCCTCCCAGGTATCTGTTGGGATTGACAAAAGACCAAAAATATATTGAAGTCTATGATTTTGCTGGTGTTGATCCAGGCTATCTTGAGATTCTTACCAGCAATCTCGAATTTCAATCTGAACCTAAATATATTTATGCTATTATACCTCATGGAATGAACAGTTCAATTCGTGATTTGTCGATATTTAAATCAAAATATAAATATTTCAACAGAAAATTCATATTTCCTCATTTAAGCACTGAAAATCTACCAAAGATAAATGAACTGACAAATGTAATCTTAAGCAATTCATGTATAGGGACTAAATTTCTTCAAATAAAGAGGATGTTGAGTATTTGTGTACTCATATTTAAAGCAAGTGGTGATAATCCTGAAAATTTTGATTGAATCAATCCAATTATTTTATATTTTGAATTGAATTCTTCATATTTCCTCATTTAAGCACTCAAAATCTACCAAAGGTAAATGAACTAACAAATGTAATTTTCAGCAATTCATCTGTATAGGGACTAAAATTCTTCAGATAAAGATGATGTTGAGTATTTGTATACTCATATTTAAAGCATGTGGTGACACTTCTTAAAAATTTTGACTGAATCAATTCAAGTATTTTATATGTTGAATTGAATTCTTCATGATTTGCCATTGAATAATGTGAATATAATATGACTGTTTCCATATATAATATGAATGTTTCCATACATTTTAAATTTTGCATTACTTATGAAATAAAAATACATATTTTTTAAAGCATTTATTTTATTATGCTGTTTTTTTTAAAATTAACGTAGAGTTGTAACATATATTAGCTTTATTTTACAAATTATGGGCATATTCTAACGCCATATCTCAAATTGATATTTATTTGAGTTTCACACATGCCATGTTATTAATATGCTCTATTCAATTCCAAATATATCAATTAAAATGTTTCTCTCATCTATAACATAAATTATATAAAATAAAACTGTCATAAATTTTGAATAATTAAATTAAATGTCTAAAATTGCCAAATTTAAAATGTATGCACTTTTAATCAGAAATAAGTTTGTTAATTGCATTAATAACTTTGAATTACATTCATTATTAAATATGCTATTTATTTCGTCTGCTTACTTACAAATTAAGCAGATGAAGAATCATTATTTTGCTGTGTATCTTTACATGAACATAAAGGCTTTTACATTGCAATAAAAAAATTTTGAAACATGTATTTATTACTAGTCAAAATAATTTTGAAATAAATTTATTTATTATTTTAATTTTTTATCCTTTGTATATGAATGTATTTATATGTCTTTCATTTGTGGTAAATTAAGTGTTTGCTGCAATAAATTTTTATTAACAAAATCGAATCTACTTTGATTTCATATAGATATAAAAAATGATGCAGATTATATGAAATTGCTCTGTAAATTTCAATGAAGTAAAATAAATCTATGTTCACCGTCATGCAAAGTGCTACATAGTTAAAATTCATTAAAAAACCAATTTAATAAAAAAAGCCATATTTAATCAAAAATTAAAAAATATTATTTTAATATTGAACTCATGTGGTATAATTTTCGTAACAATACAATAAACTAAACTCTAGAATCAATAAAATTTTATGTATAACTTTAATTATAAAATAAAATTATAAACATATATAATATTTTCAACAATTCAAAAGATAATTTTTTGAAACTGATTTAAATATTTTTTTAAAAATTAGCCTATTTGTTGTTCCCTTTGAAAAATTTTATTGCTCCGTTTTACATACTGACACTCACATTCCAGCAATTTCTTTAGATTATACCATATTTACTTTTTTTTGTTTGTTTTAGACCTGATTTTACTCGACTTCTTTTGGAGTTCATGGATATTTTTATTATGATTCTCAGTGTGGAAAATTTTTTATTAAAAGGAGGCGATTCTTCTTATTTTGATAGTACATAAATAGACCGACCAGCAGAAAGTTATAATTTTCTTAAAAAACAAATATTACATTGTTTTGCCAAAATCAAAAATTCTACACATTACTTTTGTGACAGTATCATCAAATTCAAATGACTAAATTTATAGATCCAATTAATTCTCCAAAACAAAATGCTCCAACATTCTGAATGTACAAAGATATTTTGTAAATCTCCTTAGGTAAGCAATGTGTTCAACAATTGACGGAATTTCATTTACAAGGCCATAAAAATTATTAGGGGAATTTTAAACATAGCACTGAAGCATAGAACATTACGGAAAAAAATCACATCCATTATTCACGTGTGGAACTTAAAATTTAGCTAATTAAACCAATGATCAAACCATTTGACAAATTTTTTTGTATTCAAAATTCTACTTAATGGTTATTGTACAAAGACCAGACCTTACACTAAAGAATCATTATTTGACGAAGATCAATTTTTTATACTCCAAATGCTTCTCTAAATGATTATTGGGTACAAATATAGAATCCTGTACCCATTGCGCCAAATTCATCGCCAGGATGCCAAGTCGCGAAGTACACAAGCAAAATGGCTGCCGAAGATAGTTGTCGTTGTAAAACACTGTTTCGCCAAAAATCGCTATTGCGCCAAATTGTATTCCTTAAATTGCTTTCACGCCAAATTTTATCGCATTATGGCAAAAATTTATCACTTAAATTTGTTTTTATACCAAACTTTATCGCTTCAACACCAAATTTTATCACTATTATGGTAAAACTTTATTCCTAAATTGCTTTTAGGCCAAAATGTATCTCTTTATCGCCAAATTTTGGTCACTAAGCAAATTTTTATTCATAAAATGCTTTAACGCCAAATTTTATGTCTTTAAAGTCAAATTTTATAACTGTTATGGCAAAAATTTATTACTTAGTTGCTTTTACGCGAAATTTTATCGCCAAATTTTGCCACTTTTATGATACAATCTCAATGATTTGGTTTTACACCAAATTTTATAGCTTAAATGCAAAAATATATTAATCAGCATCATCATATTTGGCTCGAAAGCCTAGGGTGGGCCACGGCTTCTGCTGAAATTTCCTTCGGAACAGCTCATTTTTTGCTTTAATCTTTTAATTTTTTTACCCCTTTCACTTTAAAATCTGATTCAACTGAATCAAGCCACCTTAGTTTCCTCTTTTATTGCGATTTATATAGTTGTTGCAATAACGTCCGAAGTGATCTGTTTTTGTATAAAGATAAGACATTCTAAGTTTCAAATCCAAGGTCAGCTTTCCAAGTCGTTTCCGCAGTCAATTTTTTTAAATTTATATAAACAAAATTTTCTAGAAATACTAAAATTTATTTAATATTTTTATTAATAACAAGTAATATCAAAAATTTTTTTAAAAGTCAATTCCTACTTTTTTTTCACTCTATTGCAGAAAGTCCTTTTAAATAATTTTCATTCATTTTTTTAAGTTTATCTGGCGCCATCTATTGGTAGATATATGCAACTTAAAACTAAAATTAATTAATTAAATTTAATGAATGAATTGATATTTGAAAAAACTGTATTAACATCCAGTGTCATCCACTACAAGTTTAAAAAAAATGTATTTGAACTCGAGTGGATGAATAAAAAGTATTTTATGAACGATTGAAAATTTGAACAAGATATATATAGGGAGAGCGTGAGCCAATAGAAGGTATTGAAAAAATTAAGATTTGTTTTAGTTTTTCACATTGTTTAGTTTTGTTTCATTTGTTGTTTTATATTTATTGTGAGAGAGGTAGGGAGTCCGGCAAGAAGAAATTGTCTAGGGCCCTAGTGGGTTAATCGGGTCCTGCATAAGTATCATTAAGGTAGCCATTCACATTATTGGACGTGGCGTAATTCACATTAAATGACGAGGCGTAAAGCGTCGATCATTTACAAGTCTCAGCTCATGACTCCTGAGACTTGTGATCAGGGCCGGATTTAGATGAAAAGAGGCCCTAGTCTATTTCACTTCCGAGGTCCTCTCACTTTCCATTGTAAATTACATGAGAGATAATAAAATACATCATTCCTGTGATATATATCAATATGTTAAATGAAACATGTTGTGCTTGGTATTAATCTTTATAAAAAAATGTGGCACAAAAAACAACAACACTTATTTGGACATTTATTCTCAGCACCCTATACAGTCCTTGCAATAATAACTAATCAAACATAGCACACAGCATTTACAAAGAAACAAAATTCAAATAATAAAAATCTTTGACTACGAAAACAAAATAAGCAATAAAAATTATCCTATTTTCTATCAAATTAAATTAAATATATTCAAAACATTGAAGATTCAATTCAGATAAATTTATTTCATAATTTCTCCTTATTTGCGATTCAGTGTTTTAGTGCTTACTGTTTTTAGAATAGTGTAATTTTAAGTTTTCTAACAATTTGAATATAGGCCCCTCTTGATCTTGAGGCCCTAGGCTGAAGCCTAGTTAGCCTATAGGAAAATCCGGCCCTGCTTGTGATTGGTCAATACTTCACGTTTCGCTGCACAAGTTTTGGTATGATCTCTGTCCGTGGGTGTGCACAAAAAACACTGAAGTACCGCTTCGAGAGGTGAGGACAGTGCACACCTGAGCCAAACTTTGGTGTGAATGCGGTTAAAGGCGTTGATATTATAATAATGCAAATATTTAATCTCCGTAAGAAAGGACACTGAAGATCTAATAGGTATGAAATTTATTTCCCTTAATTATATGTATGCAAGCCAACTGCCATACTATGCTGAATATATAGGTTCTCATTCGATCAACGAAGTCAAGCATCATCAGGCGCTGTCAGTACTTGGGAGGGTGACCACTTGGGAACACCGCATGCTGTTGGCATTCAAAATTGGGACCTGATGGCCAAGTACTCGGTGACATAGGTTTCGGGTTCGAGTGTATGTTTGAATGGCCATGGATGTTTGCAGTGGGTCAGAATTTACTTTAAACCGCAGGTCTCGGACTAATGGGACTGTAGAACGTTGAGCGCAAGGTTGATAACTCTACCCCGTAAAAACAAAACATCTCCTGTCTCGAAATCTGCCAGTAGGCAGATGGCTTTGACCCACCATGGGACTGTTGCGCCACTGAGGCTGATGATTACGTTCTTACAATTATATACATTGCATGTACAACATTTCTATTCGTTTGAAGAATGATTTGTAAAAGAGCTTTTTTTTTAACATGCTTGCTTCTTGCACTGTGCATTGTACTATGGGATTCCGCGTCGTCTTAATGCACCCTATCCCTCCCAGAAACTTTGCTAATGGTGCTGGTGAGACTTATATAATATGTTAGTTCCATTTGAAAGACATCATACTTCTGTAATTAATCTAATCACTTCAACTCTGATGAAGTTTAACCATATTTGGTATTCATTCATGCTGAACAAATGTGAAAAATAAAAGAAACGAATTTAACATAACACGGGCTAGATGGCCGAGTGGCTAGCGCTCGATGCTACAGGTTTTGAGTTCGAGTCCCACCGGTACCATGGATGTTTGTAGTGGTTCTGAATCCGCTTTATTATGCAGGACTTCCCGGTCTAATAGGATCGTTGAGTGTTGTGGGGATAGTGTGACTCGCGTCCGTAGCCTATCCTCAAGCTACACGCACCTCCTGGGTAGTGCTCCATGTGTAACAGCGGTGCGCAGTCTTTGCTTATGGCATAAAAGAGTAATTGCTGCCAGTTGCATTAGAATAATAACATAATACTATTAAAAGTACTATGCATTTGTCACTTAAACAAATAAGAAACAATATAGAAATTTTTCAATAAAATTTCAAGTCGTAATAAAATTCTGTTTTTTATGCACAACGTATGATTCGCATAAATTCATAGTTGGGATGCTTTGGTACACTTACTGAATCATGTACATCGGAGTTTTACACGAACCATGTTGTTTGTTGTTGTTGTTTCTTATCCCACTTGGCTGGCCAAGCCCACAAGCCCATATGGACTCATGATGGAAGGGGAAGGAAGCAGCTTCTGTTGTGATGGAGCACCCGTAGGTAGAAGCCTGACTTTTGCTCCGTGACGCTCTTACAGTCATAGAAGACCGGGACCTACGGCTTAAAGTGGATTCCGAACCACTACAAACATCCATGGCACCGCCGGGATTCGAACCCGAAACCTGTGGCACCGAGCGCCAGAGCGCTAGACACTCGGCCATTCAGGTCCCAAATTTGCCAACGGCACGCGGTGTTCCCAGGTGGTCACCCACCCAAGTACTGACCGCGCCCAATGATGCTTAACTTCGGTGATCTAACGAGAACCGGTATATTTAGCATGGTACGGCCGTTGGCTACACGAACCATATCATTCCTAATCACATCAGGTCAGGTACATAGGAAAAAGTAATAAGATAAAGAACACAAGATAAAATAATAAGGATGTAACAAGGTAAGGAATATAGGATAAAGTAATAAGGATGTAGCAAGGCAAGGAACACGTGATAACGTAATAAGGATGTAACAAGATAAAGAACACATGATAAAGTAATAAGGCTGTAACAAGGAACACAGGATAAAATAATAAGGTTGTAATATTATAATAGAAGGTCCATTGAATCCGTTCCACTTGGACACTTGCCAATTCTCTATAGGCCATACTGTTTACTCCAGTAAGTACCAAGGGTCAAAATCGTTTTAATTTTTCTGCCATTATCTATAATTTCTAGACTAGTCGCCGAGTACGCGCTCTGAGCGAGCATACGCTTGCTGACTACAAACTATTGTCAGTGAAAAATCACAATTACGCAAATCTCATTAGTATTTCTTTTGCAAGTGGATACTCCGCGGTTTCATTCGCGTTCATTTAGCTTTTCCGTTCCTGAGGGATTTTCAGGATAAAAATCATTCAGGATACACACATTCCAAACATCAATATACATACATATGCGATATTCTTTACCCCAACATAACTACCGAGGGTAACCGCGGGATGTTTACAAGTTTATAATGTTAGTGGGATTCATTCCAATTATTTGTTATCTGTTATGCTTAAGTTAAATTTTCTGCGTATTATGCTTGCCATCAAGCTTTTACCTAGCAAGTCAATAAAACTGAGTTATTATCATTCTGTGTTATTTTATCCAATTTCTTACAGCAACAATAAGTTATTCGCTGTCGCGGGCCGGATTGATGATACTGGCGGGCCGGATTTGGCCCACGGGCCGTAGTTGGGAGTCTCCTTCTCTATAGGATCGGTTGTAGAAGTATGTGCGGTAATTTCCCCCTTCTCATCCCAGTTTCAAAACAACTGCTTTGAAAAAAAAATATTATTATAGTATAAAGCTTATCATGATCCCGAATTTTTCATCTTCCCCCCCCCTTGTTTTTAGTATCAGATAATCTGTCGTAAATCCATTTTATTACATCAGAATTACATCTTTATTGAATTTATTACTTTCGAATGTCTCTGATCTTTCAACAAAAATGTGATAAGTTTGGTTTCAAACACCCAATCTTAAGATTAAAAAATAATAATAATAATAATAAATACAAATCACAAAAATATTTTGTTTCTTATTAATTAAAAACAAAGATAATACAGACATTTTTGACGTAGCTATAAACGAAGTTATTTTTATTTTTGTTTAATAACAACCATAAGGTCAAACAAAAACTCCACTTGGAACGGAACTTTTAGTTAGTTTCACTTTCACATTCAAGAGAACGGACTTCGGTTCAATTCTCCTTTAATGTAAACATTTTATGCGTTTTTATAGCATGGCTTTTATGATGTGGTGAGGAAATCTCGTGGAGATATTTTTTGTTTTTATTTTTCAACTTAGTCATATGACCACTTGATGCAAATATTATGTTTTCGCAGACGTTTAGAAGGGATTCTTCACTTGCATGTTTCAGCAACATCTGAGAAGAGGACATCGCTGCAGCGGTGAGTGTTTTTAACTGTTCATATTTATTTTCAACTGTACATTCATCATTTTAATTGTTCATAAACTCCGCGAGCCGCCTATGAAATTATACATCCCCCTATCAGATCTAGATCCACTATAGACATTTTTATATTCATATTACAATCTGTTATATTAGATGTTCCAAGTTGCGCGCTCGTGAGTTCGCAGAATATAATTTAATTATTCTGTGAACTCATCAATAAAACAGACAATATCTGTCCTATATTCGGAAGAATATTATTTTAAAATCAAAGTTAATTTTTGAATGTATGATGTACACAGAATGTATGTTTTTTAATACATTTGTTTTCACTACTTTGATCATTATAAAATAAATATACATCTCACGGGCCGCAAAAATATTCAAGGCGGGTTGGCCATCCCTGTAATAAATTAAAGTTAACCAAAACGATAGCAATAAAAAGAGAATCCTTCTCTTAGTATTCCATTTAAATTGATGTTCAGATGGATGATCACATATTAGTTGCTATGTAAAACTTTGAAAATAAATATGTCAAATGATCATAGAATATTCATCTGAATGATAATTTTTTTTTTGTTCTAAGGCAGCTGGCAAACACTTAGACAGCTTGGTCCTGGATGCCTTAAGCGCTGCACAGACGTTACTCACTTTGCATTACCCAGGGGGCGCGTGTAACTTGAAGATCAGCCACGGAAGCGTTAAAGTGGATTCCAAACCACTACAAACACCCATGGCACCGCCGGGACTAGAACCCGAAACCTGTGGTAATGAGCGCTAGCCACTCGGCCATTCAGGCTCATGTGAATGATATAGAATACAACATAGAATTAATCAATTAATTATGCATTGCATTACAATAGTTGTATATAAAAATGACATTCAAAAAGGTATTTAAAAATAAAAACAATCATTTTAAATAATCAGTAGCTCTTAACGTAAGTAAGCAGTACTTATTTTTACATTATAATTTTTCGTTTTAAGAGATTTGATGAGTTTAAAATGATGAATTATTTTTGTGAACCAAAACTGCAGTTTACAATATAAGAACAAAATTAAAAACGAGTAATATAATTTTTTTTTTTTTTAAAGTCAATTCCTTCTTTTTTTTCTCACTATATTGCATAAAGTCCTTTATAAATAGTTTTCATTCATTTTTTTAAGTTTATCTGGGGCCCTCTACAGATACATGCAATTTAAATCTCAAAAAAAAAAAAAAAAAAAAAAAAAAAAAACCTAAAATTAATTAATTAATTAATTAAATTTAATGAATGAATTAATATTTGAAAAAACTGTACTTACATCCAGTGTCATCCACTACAAGTTCAAAAAAAAATGTATTTGAACTGGAGTGGATGAATGAAAAGTGTTTTATGAACGATTGAAAATTTGAACAAGATATATATAGGGAGAGTGTGAGCTAATAGAAGGAATTTAAAAAAAATGCGATTATTTTTATGGTTAATTAAGCTGTCCTGAATGGAATCATTATATTTTTAAATCTTATACTATCTTCATGATAATTTCTCGTTTATCAAGTTTCAGTTTGTTGTCTTTACACACTGTGGGTTACTCAATGTTATGTTTCATGTCATTCTGTGTTCATGAAAAGATGGTTGAAAGATTGTTGTCCGCCTACACTTCACTTTGTAAAATCGAATCGTATTTCTCACAACCTTCAGATACATTGAACGTAGAAGGACGCATTTCTTCTGAATTATCAGTGTCGTGGATATCATTCCCGTAGATCAGGGGTCTCCAAACTACGGTCCGTGGGCCAAATCCGGCCCGTCAGTGTCATCAATCCGGCCCCGCAACAGCGAATTGCTTATTGTTGCTGTAATAAGTTGGATAAAAAAAATACAGAATGATAATAACTCGATTTTATTTACTTACTAGGTAAAGCATATTACTCAGAAGCACAACAACTAACAAAT